TCTCTCAAATGGTAAAGAAAGCAATTAGAGAAACTGCTCTTCTTCAAATAATTCTGACAACAAGGAAGAGCCAGCCAGCAATGGGTAGGTGGCAGGAATCACCTGAGTACGTGACCACTTTATCTTGAAACAAAACATAATCACTTGGGAAGGGACACAGCTTGAAGGTGGACATGGTCACTATTCCCAGCCATCGTCTCTGAGCAGAAAGCAGCTATGGCTCCTTCCCAGAGCTTGCAATCTACCCAGAAGGTAAGTCATATCTGCAGTCATTTCATCTGGGACAAAGGAGAGGCCAAAAGGGCAGGTGTTACAGAATTCAAAGACGGAAGAGTATCTTGTGGGTGAAGTGATATCATAGAAAAGGTATTCTATAGAAATCTGACTTGAGCTGACTGACTATGGAAGATGATGAATTATTTAAAGCATGCATGCATGTGTGCATGTGTTTGTGCGTGCATGCACGTGTGTGTGCGTGCATGTGTGCATGTGTGTGCGCACACATGTGTCTGTGTGTGTGCACATGTATAGTGTGTGAAGGAGGAATATACATTTCACACCTGGGCAGTGGTTTGAGAATTAGGATGTAAATGTTCGCAGTGAGGCTACTGAGTTTGGCCCAGTGGAGAGATCCTATAAGGACACACTAAGCCATGAGATTGAAGACAGAAGGTAGTAAATGGTTTAACTTTTCAATAAGCCACGCCTCCTTCTCTTGTCCTCAGAAGCAGCTCCTGCAACCATATTTGTTCTAAGTGGCCATTCACACTTCACCCCAGCACAGCTGTTTGAATCGGGGTGAACACATGACAAAAACTAAACCAAACAGATGCTTTCTCCCAAGAATGTAGAATTTGGATGATCTGCTGGTCAGCTGCTCTATGGGTGCAGCAACTCAGGAGCTATGAGGAGACCATCTGCTCCTAAGAACAAAAAGAAGTGAAAGCTAGTCTGAAAAATGAGAAGAACGAAGCAGACAAATGTGGAAAGGCAGAGATGAGCTCTCAGGACAGAAGGGACCAAACTAGACCCTGCCTTGTTCCATTTCTTCTTCTTCTTTCTTCTTTTTTTTTTGCAGGAAGGAGAGACGGGGTCTCACTATGTTGCCCAGACTGATCACTGGCCTCTAATTCCTGGCCTCAAATGATCCTTCTGCCTCAGCCTTCCAAAGCACGGCGGTTATAGGCATGAGCTACCACGCCTGGCCAGCCTTGTTCCATTTCCATCCTGATCTGAGTCCTCTGGGGCCAGGCTGCTTTCCTTGTGCAGGAGCCCCATGAAAGCCCTGCACCTTGATGTAGTCTCCTTTTTTTTTCTTTTGAGACAGGGCCTGGCTCTGTTGACTAGGCTGGAGTGTAGTGGTACAATCTTGGCTCACTGCAACTTCTGCCTCCTGCGTTCAAGCAATTCTCCTTCCTCAACCTCACGAATAGCTGGGATTACAGGCACGTGTCATGACACCCAGCTAATTTTTGTATTTTTAGTGGAGACAAGGTTTTGCCACATTTGCCAGGCTGGTCTCAAACTCCTGACCTCATGTGATCCACTCACCTCGGTCTCCCAAAGTGCTGGGATTATAGGCATGAACCACCGCACCCAGCCACATTCTCCTTTTCAAGTCAAGCTGGATTGCATAGGTCCTGTGACTGCACCCAAAGGCCATGATAATATGTGCCAGGCACAGAGCTGAGCACTTTACAGAGTTATTGCAATGAACCGGTAGGTACATACTGTGGAGTATAAGTAACCTGCATAAGGCCATTGAGCTTCTAGGATGACAGCAGAGCCAGGCCTGGAACCCAGACACTAATTTGGAGCTGGTGCTCTCAACCCTACTACTATTTTCCCCCATGTCTTGGCAAAGGCATGTGTTCTGCAACCAGAGCTCATGGCTAATGATGTTGAACTTCATCCTTCATATCATAAAAGTAGTTGAAGACTTTTGAGCAAGGGAATGATATGTGTAAGGAGCGGACAATCCACAGGAAGATCCTAGGGGTCAGACCATCAGGAGAAAATATTTTCCAGGGTTATCTTTGAATGCATTGAGCCTAATTGGGAAAGAAATGAAAACAAAACTGGGAGGAGAGCCAAGGCTGTTAGCCCAGAGGGATGAGAACTTGTCAGTCTGAGGATAGAGAGGTTGAATGAACAGCTAGGTCAGCAGCCAGGTAAGAAAAACCACTGAAGCAGGACACAAGGTAAGGAATAGCCAAGAAACGCAGTCAACCAGTGCACAGTGAGGGGAGTCACTCTCACGCAGAGCCTAGCATTCACTGCCTGGGTGTGGGTAGCTCTTTCGGACAACCGCACCGGAGCTTATAGCTTCAAAGCATCAGGAGACCAGAAGTCTGTCTGCAAAGGACCAAGGAAAGAGTGGGTGGGAGCAAATGATGGGGCAGAAGGACTGTCAAGGAATCCAGGTGCAAACTCGAAAGGCAGATGCAAGACAGATACTAGTGGGAATAAGACAATCAAAGAGGGTTTTTTCTATCATTTTTCTTTTCTTATTTTAAATCTCTCTCTCTCTTTTTTTAAGATTTCTTTCCATACAGGGAAGCTCTGCTTATCTTTGTAGGTCAAAGCTAAGGAGCCAGCAGGCAAAATTGAATTGTTCCTTGCTGCAACAGACAAGGAATAAAGGATGGGGTGAGGCACTGGGTAAGCACCTGGACTTGAGAAAAAAATGAATGGAAAACATTATTGGCAAGAAAACTAGGTAAAATCCCACGGCTAGGCAGGCCAACAGAGTAAGCCCTTCATGCAAGAAAGGTTATGAAAGGTAAAGGTTCAGCGTAACAATCACAAACAATCCCAGAGGGAAAAAAGAGTAGAGACATCTAAAGAGGGCCACACAGTCACCCAGACAGCTATATGCCAGAGCCAGAGCATTCAAGTGACAGAGACAAATGTGGGGAGGGAGGATCCCCAAATACAGGGGCACACAGTTCCGCCACAGGGGCCAGGGTATCTGTCAGCAGGGCTGTGGGCTCAAAAAGTGCTAGATCATTTTTAAAAGAATTTCTGAGCTATGCTTTGGGGGATAAAAAACAAGGAAGAAATGATGAATCCACGGCTCAGGGAAGATAATTTAATGCCCACAGATGGCAATAAGAAGGCAAAACTCGTAGTTTGTTTGCCTTTCCTTAGGAAAATAATCTTGAGAGGAAGAAAGGTAGAATAAACATCATAAAGAAATAAGTGAAGCACAGGACAGTGAAAAGATAATGAGAACAGTTGGCTTCCTTCAATGAGCTCAGCTATTCAGGCCCCGACAAGGCACTGCCCAGCACTAAGGGTCTACATCCGGAAACATTTTCAAAGAGACTCCAGAGAACTGGAGAGGAGTGGATTCTGTCCAGAGCAGGTGAGAGGAGAGGGGGAAGGCACACCCTCAAAACGCAAGCTAAAGCCCACAGTGGAATTAATTATTAAACTGGGGGCTCGTGAGTACATGGAAGAGATGTTGATTACTCGAAGCCATTGGGGTTTGTAAACTCTGCTACATAACCTCATTTCTATCTTTTAAGAGGGGCAATTAGACTGCTAGCTGATTTTTTTATGACCTATATCATTCTAAAAAGGGCTGAAGGTTGATTAAAGAGACACCAAAAATCCACCAAGACATTGAAAATTACGAATATGTGAGAAAGAACAAAAGGAAAACAAAGGATAGGAGAGACATAAAAATCGAGCCATAAATAAGACCAATAATAAAATCTGCAGTCTAGAGTCCTAGCTGCTTGTTAAAATAAATTTCAGTCACTTGCTAAAGATGGACCACTAATTTGGTTCTAAGTGTTCTTAGAGCAAATTATCAGGTAACAGCAAAAGGGAGCGGTGATCAATTATTCATTTCACACCATCTATGAAATTTACAAAAGCAGGTAAGAAGAAAAGAGGATGTAAGGGGAGATAGATGAAGGAGGGTGACAGAAAGGTGGAAAGGAATAAAGAGGCCGGGAGCGGTGGCTCACACCTGCAATCCCAGCACTGTGGGAGGCCAAGATGGGCAGATCATGAGGCCAGGAGTTCAAGACAAGCCTGACCAATATGGTGAAACCCCATCTCTCCTAAAAATGTGAGAATTAGCCAGGTGTGGTGGTGTGTGCCTGTAGTCCCAGCTACTAGGGAGGCTGAGGCAGGAGAATTGTTTGAACCCAGGAGGCAGAGGTTGCAGTGAGCCAAGATTGCACCACTGCACTCTAGCCTGGGTGACAGAGCAAGACACCAACTCAAAAAAAAAAAAAAAAAAGAAAGAAAGAAAGAAAAAGAAAAGAAAAGAGAATGGAAAAGAAGCACAATTATTCCTGAGACTAGACCCAAAAGAGACTTCTCCCAAGGATCCTCAGAAAAAGGAAAGTGTATAATTGTAGTAAACAAGCGCTTCAAGGACTTTCTTACAGTTAAATGTATATACAACCTCCAAGAACTCCCTAACTTTCTAGTCTAGATTATTTGTAATTCAAATTTGAATAAATTTCATTAAAAATCCCCGTACTGTAAAGGTATCCTCAGTCTCTAATGTTGGCCTGATTATTTCAAGCAACATTCCGTACAGATTAATTTTAGACAAGCCAAATACCAGCACAAGCAGCTCTGGAGGACTCTCCACGTTCCTCTTTCTAGTGCTGGCTCAGGGTCACACATTCTCTATGCAGTCTGTCCAGGGCCCTGCTTTGGGAAGACTTAGGGTCCTCTTGTCTGTGGAGACCAGTGGTATGTGTGATTCTCCCTGAGGCTGGACAGGCTCACGTGGGCAGCCAGCTTGGAAGGGTCTTGAGAAGCCAGCAGCTCTGTCTTCAAACAATATGATAGCCAGGCCAGACACACCACATGAATGATCATCTTCAGATGGCTCTTTAAGATGGCTCTTTAAGTTATCACACCATCTCTAAAGAAAGAGGTTTCACATGTGTTCTAATGGTTGGGATAAGGTCAAAGGTATACATGTGCCATGGTGGTTTGCTGCACCCATCAACCCATCATCTACATTAGGTATTTCTCCTAATGCTATCTCTCCCCTAGTTCCCTGCCTCCTGACAGGTGCTGGTACGTGATGTTCTCCTCCCTGTGTCCATGTGTTCTCATTGTTCACCTCCCACTTACGAATGAGAACATATGGTGTTTGGTTTTCTGTTCCTGCGTTAGTTTGCTGGGAATGATGGTTTCCAGCTTCATCCATGTCCCTGCAAAGCACATGAACTTATCCTTTTTATGGCTGCATAGTATTCCATGGTGTATCTGTGCCACATTTTCTTTATCTAGTCTGTCATTGATGGGTATTTGGGTTGGTTCCAAGTCTTTGCTACTGTGAATAGTGCTGCAATAAACATATATGTGCATGTGTCTCTATAGCAGAATGATTTATAATCCTTTGAGTATATACCCAGTAAGGGGATTGCTGGGTCAAATGGTATAGAAATCAAATTTCTAGATAAATTTTCAGGAAGATCTGCATTACAATGTGTACCTATATGATGGTCAAGGTGGGGCAATTCTGAATGCTCTGTAGAATACTGAATTCGATCCTGGGATAGAAAAAGGGACATTAGTGGAAATACTGGTGATAGCCAAATAAAGTATATAGTTGTTTTTTTTTTTTCAAAGAGGTTTCACATATACTTTTCAGTCTGGTAGGCTTGACCTTTTCTCTCACAACCAGCTCCACAAAAATATGAGCACCAGAATTTTTACCTCTAATGGGATCCATTCTCTTTGATTGGTCTTAGACTCTGGTCTCCGAACTATTCGTAGCCTTCTTGGCTCCCTATCGAATCCCTGCATAAAGTCATGTAGCCCCTTTGATTACACAGTTTCCAATAACCCTTGATATCCTCTAGATAATACTAACCAGTCCATGCCCCTCCCAGCCAACAGCCGGTCTGATTCACCTTTCATGCTGGGTTTGAACAGACAGTAGTATTGGTGCTCACTCACTCGTGTAACAAACCTCACTGACCCCATATTACGCCTTGTATTGTTCCATCCTAAGACGCTCTGGAATAAGACCATGGCATTCTATGATAAATGCCACTTTCACTTTCAATCCTTGGTAAAGATAATGGAATCAGCAAGGTCTAGAGAAGGGCAGCTAAAATCATCAAAAGACAGAAAAGTCTCCTTTCTGCAATGAATTAAATAAATTAGGAGTCTGCAAGACAAATAAAAATGTTAGGAGGAGACAATGTCAATGTTTTCAAAGACTTGAAGAGAAAAAATGGATTTGTAAACCACGTTCCAGATAACAGACTAAAGTATCATCCCTTGAATCTTAAAACAGATAAATTTAAAGCAGTTAGAAATTACTACTAATAACAAAATGAATGATATCAAGAGCCAGTAAGGACTAAAAATGTAAATTTAGAGAGGATGTAGATAAAGTCATGAAAAAAAAAAATCTATGTAAGAGCCTTAAGAGGAAACTGAACATCTACAACCTCTGGAGACGGGCTGAACTCCTAAATCACTCAGCATGTTGACTACTGATAGCTACTACCACTGCAGGACCTTGAGAGGTGCTTGTTTCCTTAAGCCTGTGCTGTTCGTTTGCTGTGAGAATCAACCATGTAAAAATCCACAACGTTGTGCCCAGCACACTAAGCCGCAATCAGTAGCAGCAGCAGTCATGCAGCAGCGATTCTTGCATGATTCGGCTGAAGGAAGTCGGGTCCAACTCAACACAATAATGCTGCTGAGTTGTTATTCTGTCTTCAATAAATCAACGATTGCCGCTTTTCAATCATCAGATTTTGCTGCCAGGTCCCTCTCAGCTCAACACTTGGAATCATTCTGGAGCATTCCAGATACATCCTTTCACACTTAGAGGATCTAGCACTAGAAATTTTTTCAGTATCAAGATCATTCTGGTCCCAGAGAAAATGTTTTTGCCAAAAAATAAGTATACATTAACCAGCTGTCATGTGGTCCTCCCCTCACCTCTGACCCCAGTGACAGATGCTAAGAAAGCTTACGTGCTGAGAAGTAGAGAGCGTCAATGAGCTTACCTGGTGGCTGCCTCGGGAAGGACAATGGGAAATCTCAACAACACCTCAGACATTTGTCTTTGCAATAGGACATGTCAAAAGTGAAACATACAAAATTAAAAGGTGAAGAATGAAAAAAAATAAGATTTCTAGAGAAATGCACACTTCAAAGCAACTCAGAGTCCATCCAGGGGAAATGCCATCCCTTTGCTGCAGGACACAAGATGGGGAATTCTTAAGGAGAAGGAAGCCACTGCTGGGACTCCCATATTCCTCTGGTGCACTTCACAGGTGCAGGCGGACAGCTCCCAAGAAGGAGATGTTTCTGCTCTGAAATTCACCTTCTGCTTCCCCAATCTGGGAGATTGGTATCTTCATTGCCACTGGTCACTCTCACCCTGGGCTATGGCACATTTGCTGGACTCCTGAGGCCAGAAGCAAAGGCAACCACAGGAGGAAGAAGTTGGTTGAATGTTACAGCTGGAGAGCACTTTAGAGGCATTTGGACCCAACCTCCCTTTGCTGACAAATAAGCTGAGAGCCAGTGCATTTGGGAAAGATCTGAGTCTATGCTCTTCGGACATGGCCAGGGCTGCCCAGTTGGGACTGTGACATCCATGGAACTGGCCTTGTGACCAACTGGCCTTCAAGTTCTTCAGTGCCAAAATGGGGATAGTAATAGTCCCTCCCTCATCACTTTTCATGGCAAAACCCGCAATTATTTCTGCACCAACCTAATAGATGAAATAGTTCACAAACCATACTTAGCTCAGTGTCTGGCAGCACCTTAGCATTCCATAAATTATACCTGTCATTATACCTAGAGTTCATTATTATCTCCTGTCCTTTTTCATCTGAATGCAGCTGGGGAGAAAGAACGAAAAATGAGAACATTTTGAGATTAATTGTTATCTGCCATTCCTTCGTCTTCAAGTGTTCATTTACTGAACAGGCTGCACCTGGATTATAGTCCTATGTGGGTTTGAATTTACATTCACAAGTATGTTTGAATTTCACTAGAATTCCTCTCCAGGGACTCATGCTAAGTCAATACCTCTCATCCAATAAGGCTTAAATTGGTGTTGTAAACTACCATTTGGACTCCGTAACAGAATTGCAAATGGAGTGATAATTAATGAATTTCCCAGTTATCCTCCTCTATTCCAGATTTATCAGGCATTGCCTCTTCAAAGGTGTTCTTTACCCTCAGGGATACAGTGTGATGATAATGAGAAAAGGAGATAAAAAAGGAAAGCCCTACTGATGATAGGCGGGTGGTTTAATTCCACAATTCATTCCTCTTCGTTGAGCGCTATCTTAGCGTCTTCTCTTCCATCTTCTCTCCAACCGCTGCAGTCTGTTTCTCCCATCCACCAGTAGATGCTTCAAAACTGTTCTCCCCAAGGGCAGGGTTACAGAAGCCTCATAATTGGCAAATCCATAACTGACAAACCCGGGGGCATTTTCAGGACTTACAAATGTTTCCTTCTTTGAATTTTCTCTGCTGGCACCTGGTTTTCCTCCTATTTCTCTGGCCACTCCATCTAGGTCGATAGTACCTCTTGTTCTGTTGTACCTTCTAAACATCTCTCCTTTCTATCGTTCTTCATCCCCAGTGCCCTGGCCTGGTTCACACCTGCAGCGTTGTTCACTCAAACCACTGCCATGGCTGTTAAACAGGTTCCCCTGTCAATATCACACAACTATCAACACAACCCTTACTCTACCAGCAAAGTGATCATTCAAAAAAAGCAATCACATCACTCTCTTACCTATTTTTTTTTTCCATCTCCAGAGTATCATCCAGACAGTACCACGTACACACAAATCTGCTCTTGACTGGGTCCTCCAGGCCTGCCTGCCATGTGTCCTGCCACATGTCCTGCCCTCCTCTCATTCACTTGCAGCTCCACAACGTCGTGTCCTTCCCTTTACATACATGCTGTTCCCTCTGCTGAAAGTATCTTCCCCCACTGCCAAATTCTGACCCATCGTTGGAGACTTGGCTCCAAAGTGACTCGTTTACAAAACAGCTGACTCCCCAGAAAGAGAGCTCTGTGTTCCTCGCCCACAGCACACAGGACACACAGGAACCCTCCCATTACCAGGGTGAGTTTGCTTCTTCACCTTCACACTAGACAGAAAGCTCCAGGAACTGTGTCTTACTGGACTTCATGTTCCCAGTATCAAGCCCTGCAGTCCTTGGTCCCCGCCAGGCAGACGATGCACGTTCTCCACTCAGTCCTCAACTAGAGACTAGATAAATGACTAGCCAAGGTAGACGAGTGTTCCTTCAAAAGGATATTTTTAAACCCCAGAAAAGAAAAGATGACAAAAATCCCTGTCTGCTCATGTGAGTGGCGTTCTGTGAGGCTTTCAGGAGGAAAAAAAAATCTTGTGGGTCTCACTGATGGCACCAGAAGAGCAAGCTTATCCCCGAGGCGCTATTTAAATTCCACTCCGTGATTTTCTTTTTAATTCATTTTCATTCCAGGTGCAGCCCTGCAGCTATTTTAAAACTGAGACTTAAAATAAAGTAACACTAATAGCTGGAGTTATCGCAGGCTCCCCAGTAACAGGAAGCCTTGAATCCAAAAAAACAAGGCCCTTCCCAGAGTTTTAACAAACCGCAATATCCCTTCCCAGGAGAGGGTGGAGAGTGAATAGAACAGGGGGCTCCATCATCAAAGGATTATGCTTCACTTTGCAAAAGCATTCATTCCTAGATTCCCTGAAATAGCTCACTTCGTACATTTAACCGTTCGTTTTCAAAATATTAACAACCTGAAGGAAAGACTAGAATGCTTTGCAGGAAAACAGGAAAAAAGCAAGAAACAAAAGCAGCCTCCAACTGTGGCCAGCAGGCCACCTGTGTCAGTCTCCCGAGACCTAGGGTCTGGGCACAAATGCCAGATCCAGGTCCTACCCCAGACCCATGGAATCAGAACCTCTGCTAGAAGGAGAAAACTGTCCTTTAGATGCATGTTTTCTGGAAAGCAACTCCATGCTAAAGAAAGCTGCTCCAGGAAATGGAGTTTTGTGAGTGGTGCTGTATTAGTCTGTTTTCACACTGCTCATAAAGACATGGTCGAGACTAGGTAACTTTCAAAGAAAAATGGGTTTAGTAGACTCACAGCTCCACTTGGCTGGGGAAGCCTCATAGTCATGACAGAAGGTGAAAGGTATGTCTTATATGGCAGCAGGCAAGACAGAATGAGAACCAAGCAAAAGGGGTTTCCCCTTATGAAACCATCAGATCTTGTGAGACGTATTCACTACCACAAGAACAGTATGGGGTGCAGAAAAGGGGGAACCACCCCCATGATTCCCTTATCTCCCACTAGTCCCTCCCACAACACGTGGGAATTATGGGAGCTACAATTTAAGATGAGATTTGGCTGGGGACACAGCCAAACACTATCAGGTGCCCACAGACACAGGCCTGCTTCTGATCTGTTTGGGTAGTCAAGAACCAGGGTTGTTTCTTTCAACTCATTCAATGAAAAAAAAAAATCATGTTTTAATTACTAGTGTAAGCCAGCAGGGAGTCCACAATATTAATACAGCCTAGACAGGGAACTTTCCCAGAAATACTAGACATTTCTTATTTGGTCAGAGCAGCCCCTCCCTTTATTTCCTTTTTCTAGAGGATGAGCCTGGGAAGGCCCACAGGGGCCCCACTTACCCCACCCTTGCCCCTCTCATGCCATGGGAAGTGAGCTTGCAACTGGATTTGCCAAGTTGAGTTTGTGTCACTTGCAACCAAAAGAGCCCTGTGTATCATACAAGGTCAATGAGTGAAAATGGAGTCTATTTGAGAGGTTGGACTTCCAGGATCCCAGAAGTCAATAACTTGGGAACCACAGAGGTATGCAATGGGAATCCACTGATGGCTACAGAAAGGGCAATCTAGGAAGAGAAGCCAGTGCTATTTGCTCAAATGGTTGGCTTCTCCAGAGACACCCCAGTCGTTTTTGATAACTGAGGTCAGACTCAGGGTTCCAGCCGGGGGCTGCCCTAGCAGGAACCCACCTGAGGCCCAGGGCAGCCTCTCCCTCCCAGCTAAGAGTGCATGCCTCTCTGAGGCCAGCCTGCCAGATTTTGCCTTGCTAAGGGAACAATTCCTTTGTCTAGAACAAAAGTGGTCAACTCCTTCTTTCGTGATTTTTCACAGCATTTGCTCTCCCCATCACTCTTCTTATTTACAGCCTGTGACAGCCTTCAAGTTAGAAAAATCGGACAGTGTTTCACAATATTTAAAATTTCACAGGCCTATAAAATCCTCTCATAAAAGGAGTGCTATCTTATTATTTTGCTAAAAGTGACACTGTTTCAAAAATACAACCCTTTAATACCATCCTATCATATAAGAAAGAACGTTCTCATACCAAAGAAAAATGAAAAGCACCTGAAAGACACAATCTCAGAATAAACAAATGAAAAGTTCACTATGCTGCCACCTCCTATCTCCTCCTTCTACTTAATTTTTTCCATTTTGCTTTGGACAAGAGAAAATGGCCTCATGGACCAGCGCCAGACTGCATACAAGCATTTCTGAGCTACTCACCTTGGAAGTTCTCTGGCTCAACTAATCCAAGGCAAGGACCCGTGAATGGCCAGCATGTGACTTCTGTTTGGCCTCACTCTGAACAGAATCTTACCTTGATAAGACGTTTTCAGGTTACAAAATGCTCATACATGATTTACTCACATTAATTTTGGTGGATTCTCATCACAAAGCTATTTTGCAGACGAGAGAGCGAAAGTGCTCACGCTAGCCTAATGGTAATAAAGGATTTTCCTTACTTGGGCCCCAATTCTGCCTGTCTTTAACGTCCACCTTTCAACCCTTATTTTGCCCTTTGAAACTTTTCTTCTACACAATTGTTCTTAAATTTCACCCTTCAGTCCTCTCTTTTCCAGGGTAACTAGACAGATCTCGATAAGCTTCCAGCTAAGTCCCTAACACGTTCCACAGTGCTGTCTGCACGTATATACACAAGCAATATTTGCTGAAGAATCAATGAAGGAACTGTTCCTTATTCAATATGATTTCTAGACCCTTCACCTCCCTGCTTCCCTGATCATACCCTTCAAGAGGCATTTTCAATTTTTTTTTTTTTTTGAGATAGTTTGCTCTGTCACACAAGCTGGAGTGCAATGGCACAATCTCGGCTTACTGCAACTTCTGCCTCCCAACTTCAAGCAATTCTCCTGTCTCAGCCTCCCAAGTAGCTGGAATTACAGCATGCAGCTACCACATCCGGCTAATTTTTGTATTTTTAGTAAAGACAGGGTTTCACCATGCTGTCTAGGTAGGTCTCAAACTCCTAATTCAAGTGCTCTACCCACCTCAGCCTAACTGTGCCCGACCCTGCAATCTTGCTGTGCCTCCTAAAATGTCATGCCCATGCATAAGCCATGCACCATACTGGCTTAGCTGTGCAGAATGCCAAGGCCCCCGGCCCTCTTGCCCTGGGAGCAAAGCCGTTATTCAGAAGTTTGAAATTGTGTGTATTTCCTTTCTGGAAGCTATTTCCCACTGCCAACACCTATGAGACGGTAGTCATCTAAAATTCTTAGCTATTCCCAATTCTGAATGTCTTCATTGGTATTTTAAATCTAAGGAAAATTCTCTAACATTTAGCCCTGTTGTATTTATTGTTCTTAGTCTCAAAAGTCAATGTCTTCTGTTCTTATCTGACTCTCCATATCTTCATATCTTATCTCTCCA